TCAGTTTAGAACCGAAACTCGGTTGAGAACCGAAAGTCGGTTTAGAACCGAAACTCGGTTGAGAACCGAATCTTGGTTTAGAACCGACACTCGGCTTTTGGTTTTGTGATTTGGAATAATAGGAGTTGGAATCAAAATCTTCCTTTAACTTTTGTTTCCCTTTATCCTTGGATTCTTTCCTAGGAGATTCATAGTTGGGATTTTGAGAATTCCAATGCCGTTTCCGTTCATTTAGATTCGAGGCATATCGCTGATTTCTGAGTCTTTTCTGTTCAGCTAGCTCCTTCTGAGATTTGTGAACATTGAAACTTGACTCGATTTCTCCTTCATTCTCTTGTCTTCCACTCTGGTTTCGGTGCGTTCCTTAGTTTGAACTGCCGATGCTTCCTGTCTCTTGAGTGGACCTTTCGGTTCTTTTCTTTCGATTGGAGCGTCAGGTTGCATTGAAGGTTCTGCTGGAACATCTTTCGTTCTGCTTGTGCTGGGAATATCGAAACTTGAAGGTTTATTGATGGGTTCTGGTATGTATCGCCCTTTGACTCTCCAAGTGGTTTTCTCAGACAGACCCACAGTCTCATCTGCATTGTCAATTGGAGCAGACCAGAAATAGTCTTCGCATCCTTCAGCATTATCCTCTTCAACTATCGTCCTTAATTCAGTTGTTTGTCTGTGAGTGACTCCAATCACAGCATAAACTTGGTTTGGTACTGTCTGTACCTTCTGATAAACTACAACATTTTCTTTGAGTTTCGGTTTCTGTTCCTTTCATAGACGAGCAAACTCAACTGATTTTTCCGAAATAAGAGGTTTTTCACTCTTGGCTTCATCTTTCACAAACTCAGAACAATCAACAATATCCTCTACTGAGATTTCACTCATTTCACTCTCTGTTTAAATTTCAGATGTATTATCTATTATAATTTTATTTTCCTTGACGATTTTGGCATTTGATTCGAATGTTTGTATAGTTTCGGTTTTAATATTCATCCTATCATTTTCATCTAAGATATCTCTTAACATACTTTTATGTTCCTTAGAATCATGAAAGTTTCTATTTTATCTAAACCTAGCCTATATGACATGGATGTTTCTTCAGAGGAAACTTCTGATTCACATTCTGCTATAACATCATCTTCCTTAAATTCAAGAAAGGGCAAAATCATTTTATGTATTTTCTTTCCAATTTCACAGTTAAGATGCAATTGAGCAATATTAGTATAAAGACGCTTAGCAATTAAACAGAAAACATTTCTTTGTTTTAATAATTTTAAATTGTCTCTTTGCAAATAAATACTCTCATCCTTAGCCCTAACTAACTCCGCTTCCTTCTGCTCAATCCAGATTCTTCTCTCTTCTAGATATTCAGTTTTGGAAATTTTAAGATATTCAAGGAGAGAATGTACCTTTTTGATCAATCGATCACAGTCATTGATCTTCTCACTCACTGGCTTGGCTGCAAAACACTTGTTCTCAGTCATGTTCGGTTCTGTGTCTGCACTTTCGGTTGATGGTCCAGCAGTGACTATCAGGCATTTTCCAGCTGAACCTCCAGCCTTTTCGTGTGTGGGTCTTCTAACCTCTTCATCTTCAGAATTAGTTGACCAGACTTCTACACCGCCAAAATCGTCTTCCCCTGCATCTTCTTGTATAATTAGATCATTCATGGAGCTGTTGGAAGCCTTCTTCTTTTTGACTTCTTCAAGTTTTTGCATATAATACGCTTCATTGTCTTCACCCTCTTTCTTCTCAGCCATCTTTCTTAACATGCAATCTTTGGCAAAGTGGTTCTTGCCGTGACAGTAATTGCAGTCGTAGCCAGAGTCTCCCGCAAGTTTGTTTTCTTCCATCTTTTGGGATGAGCCTTTCGGTTCTTCTTTTACCTTCTCGGAACTGTAACTTCCTTGCCAATTTCGGTTCTTATTGGTAGGAAATTTTCTTCTAGCAAATTTCTTTGGATTGGTTATCATCAGAGCATACTCCTCACTTGTAAGATCACATTCTGACATGTCTGACTCTTCCTCTTCTTCAACAGTACTTTTTCCTTTAGAGACAAGAGCCAGTGATCCCATGCCAGAGACCACTTTCGCCTCCTTAGTTACAACACTTTCATGTGACTTCAGTATGCCAACTAGTTTCGCCAGAGAGTAGGATTTAAATTGTTCATGTGCCTTCATAGTGGAAACCAGAGCCATCTATTCTGGTCTAAGCCCGTTCATGAATGTAACTTTCTGTTCGATCACCTTCCTTTCAATTCCATGCTTGATCATCTTACTTAAAAGATGATTGAACCGATCAAAGGTCTGAATGAGATTCTCTTCGGGTTTCTGTTCAAATGCTCCCAATTCTGAGAGCAACAGAGTTTGAATAGAATGTTCCAGATCCTCATCAGTTGAGTAGAGTTCCTTCAACCTATCCCAGATTTCCTTAGCAGTAGTGCAAGAGCCTACAAGCCGAAAGGTATCAGATTGTAAGGCGAATCTTATCATTCGCATGGCTTTGACATTACACAGAATCTTGTCCTTCCCATCTTGCGGCATCTTTTGAACATCTGTTACCAACTTGTTGTAATCTTTCTGTGTCTTGACAATAATGTTTGTTTCTGAGTGCACAAACGGTCCAAGAACAATAGCTTCCCAGATGAGATAGCCATTATCCTCGGATCCAACCACGTAATCTTCAAAGTGATGAGCCCATACTTCGTAATCTTGAGTGTAGAGTATGGGTACTCTGGTTGTAGAACCGATGCTGTTTGAGATGTTAATAGGGTTTGAATGCGTATCTTCATGAGACATGGTGAGCTGCTAGAATCTTACCTGTAAACTTAAGATTAGGGTTTTATCAAAAGCGGAGTAATCATCGTTAAGAAGACGACGACTTCGATAAAAGCGGAAACCCTAACTATTTGTGAATACAGAAGAAAAGTGTATCGACGAACACAATCTCCTGCTCTGATACCAATTGTTAGAACAAAATTCTTTCAGGATCGTATGATTCTAAGAAAAATATTAATAAAAACGTAAATAAGAACACAAGTATTGCGATGAAGATGTCGAATGATTAATGCAAAATACCCCAGAAGAGCTCGATTAAGAACTACAATCTGTAGAGGTATGATTAGGGTTACAAGAATCAACGTGAATGAATAATCTATTATATACACATATATGCATGCATATATATATAATAAAACCCTAACAACTTATCTAGATAAAGGAAACTATACTAGATAACTACGGATGGATAGGCTCAATCCGTTTACAAAACAAATAATCCAAGACGCAACACTTAAAATATTCAACAACTTCGTTACTAAGACACTAGTAACTTCTCCTATTTATAGGAGAGGAAAGCGTACAAAAAATATACTAAGGACTAAAACATTAGGCTTCAAATATTATGCCCTAGTAAAATAAAATTATAGAAATGCTCGAAGACCCTAAATACAAACTTCGACAATTACAACACTTTGACTCTAACAATCTCCCCCTTTGTAATCAAAGTCGAAGTCTTCAATTTGTAAGTAGAGTGATGGAGTATAGCAAAACTCTTTGAATGTCAGTGTACCAAGAAATAATCTTCGTCAATTCCTTCTTATCGCCTTCATTATTGTTTTTACAGTGGTTCATACGAATAATTAAGTTTGTATATTGAGATGTTGAATATCTCTCCACTTCGCTGGCTTGAAACAAAAATCTCTTCCCTTTTCTAGCTTTATCCTTCCTAGCAAAAACAATTCCAAATAGCTTTAAACATATTTCCCCATCTTCAAACTTCTTTAACTTAGTCTGAGTCAACGAAGGAGCCATTGGAACTTTATCTTCCATTCCCTGCGCAGTTACCAGCTCCACATCAATTAGTGCAAGGCACTCATAATAATTTTCAATGAAAATTTTGATGTGAGAAACTCCAAGTTTGAATTCTTTAGGATCAATATTTTGCAAATAAAAGAAAGATTTGTGTTTAAGAAGCAATGCAACTTATATAAGATGATACAAGTTCATCAGAGGAAAGTCAGCAATGGTGAATTCGCAAATTTTACCATTTACCCTGGCCACAATGTATTTAACATTTTGAACAATATTTTTGCAGAGCACATCTTTCTTCATGCTATTCACCTTTTTGATCTTGATTAGTGACCAGACTTCCTCAGGTGCTTTACCAAGAACTGCATGAAATGGAATCTTCATATGGGTTTCTTCATCCTTTTCTTTGAAATTCCCTTCTGCTTTGAATTGAGGCATGATGAACATCATCTCATTAACAGGGAAATCCAACTGGAAAGCATCAGTGTTTGTAACCACATAACTCTGTTTTGGCTTGTTATCAAAAGAGTACATGTGGTTAAAGGCAACCAAGGCTTCGATTGTTTCATAATTGTAATGCTTAGCTGGATCACCTTTATTCATGCCCTTCGGATCTCCAGCCCTCTGAGTCATGATGCTTTGAACAAGCCTCATTCTCTCGAGTTCAGCTTTAGCTTCAAATTTCTTTTCTTCTTTGGATTTTTCAACTAAAATTGATTTGCCTTTGTCTTTCGAAGCAAAATTTTCAATTAAGTGTTTTGGCTTCGAACCACTCCCACCACACTCCAAAGGTTTACCAATAACAATTCTTTTCGAAATTGTTCGTGTAATTGGCAATGTTGTAACAATTGTTGAAGTTGCTGGTTGAGCAGACACAAACACTGGCTTTGTTGATGGGATATTCGAAGAGAATACCTTGCCCACAACTTTCGCTTCTTCTTCTCTGGACTTCCTTTCTCCCCCTTCCACCCTTGTAAAAATAGGAGGGGCAGTTGTTGTGAGAAGAAGACTAGATATTTGAAAGAGTGGAGCAAGTTGCTTGTTTAGAATAGCTTCGAACTGTACAAACTTTTGGGACAAAAATTCAAGAGTGATCCACGGAGATGAAACTGGTTTTGTTGATATCTCCTTCAACTCTTTCAACAGTTTCATCACTCCTTCAAAATTTTCATTTTCAGACTTGGAGATTTGAGCGATTTATAGACTCAAACCTTCGTACATCTTGATAAATTTAGTAACAGCATCACATATGATACTGACCTTCTGATGTAAGCGTGCATAATCATGTTGAACAGATAAAATTTCCTTGTTCATGTCTTTATGAAGCTCTTGGATTTTCAAATTCACATCCTCCCTCACTTTCTTAACCTCCTGAACATAAAGAACATGTCGTTCTTTTGTTACGTTTCGTAGTTCTTTCACTTCTCCCAGAAAATCAGATCTTTGAGTTTTAAGACGAAGCTCATTTGTTTGATCTGAGTAATCAATCTTCTCCATAAGCACTATCTCCGAAGCCTTCAACATGCCTGACACTTTAGAAATTATTTTGGACTCACACAGCTTCAACATTGAATCAACCTCCAAACTGGAAATTGATGAACCCCCTCCAAGATCAGCTTGGGATTGAATAATGGAGTTCAACTTTTGATTCAAAATTTTGTATTGTTTCATGGTCATGAGCATGTGATAAGGGAAATCTTCTTCTTCATCATGAAATTCCAAATCATCGAATGTTCCTCCAAACCCTTCATGATCTGTTTCAGTGGGTGAAGTTGGTTTGGGGGTATCAGTTGATTGAGAGGAGAACATGGAAGTGATCGGTTGATTGAGGATGTGTTCGAAGGTTGGAGAGATAGTAGTTGAAGTAAGAGGAATGGTTGATGTTGGTGTAATAGAAACTAATGATTCAAAAGGAGTAGAGATGAATGGACCTTGATCTGCATCCTTCGAAACATTTTCACCCAAGCCTGAAGTTCTCACCTCCTCAAAAATTGACTTGGCAATCGAAACTTCCGGGATGATTATGACAGTGGTCTCTAGAATTGAACTTGTAAGAATAGAGGTGATTTCCGGAGTTTCTGGTACTCGTTCATCCTCTTCTGTAGACTCACTTGATGAAAAAATCTCTCGAGCCTTCTTCGTATTCTTCTTCTTTGGTTGAGATAAATGTTTCGCCATGTCTTCTCCTGCTCGTTTCTTGGATGCGGGAGAAACAGGAACAGGAACCTCACAAAACAATACTCCTTGATGAGAAAGTTGAGGCTTACGAAGTAGTTTCTGAGATGAAGACTTACGTTTATGCTTGGATTTCATCTTTATTCTTCGAAACATCCCTGTTTTCGAAGGAATAACCACGTTTTCTTGTGACTCTTCCACTATTGGTTTAATCACTTGTGTTGCTTCGACTGTCACAGCAACATTTTCTGGCTTCTTCTTTGGAGATTTGGATGGTGTTGAGCCCTTCGCTTTCATCTCAGGTGAGGTAGGCTCAACTTTCTTCGACTTCTTCGTCTTCTTTTCTTCGCGTGGTAATAAGATTCCCGTAGGAATAGAAGAATCAAATGTTTTCAAATATGCCTGCAAAACAAGATTCGAAGAATCCACCCTTTTAAGCATTGCATCGGGAATCTGAGCAGCACTTGGAAATTCGTCAGCATCGTCAAAAACCTCCTTTGGAAAATGGTAAGACTGAAAAGTAACCTTTTCTTCTTCATTGGAGACCAGAATACCTTCCTGGTTGTAGAAATATTGCAAAATCAGACTCCAGTACCGAGCACACAAAATACCATGAACTACATTCGTATGTTCTACCCCTTTCTGGAACTCCTGCCATAGCTGTATGGAGTAATATGCAGGAAGATCATAATACAAACCAGCCACCATGGCATATATCTCCATCCTTCCTATATCCAAGCCAATTGTTCTTCTGGTTAAACAACGCAAAAAGATTCCAAACAAAAAATTCCATAGTTTTGGAAGACCAGACTTCTTAAAGTTACTGGTCTTCGACAATGGGGGCTGATATCCCATTTCATTAAACATATGAATGATCTGAGAGAATTGAAATTCAACAAACGGAGGTGTACTTGGAATTTCAAGAATCTGGCAAAACAGTTTCTTGGAAAGCCTAACCTTTTTTATCATTGATTAAATGAAAGGTAATCGAATCAGTAGCTTTGTTGTATCTAGTTGTAGATCCTGCTTTAGAAAGCCAGGATAACGGAACAGAAAAAGAGTTGAACATTACTTTTGATAAAACAGAGTGTTTTAACGCAACAATTAGCATCTTGAATTCCTCCGGACACTGCGAAAGCTCACCATTTACATAATAATTGGTAGATTGAATCTTCATAACTGGTACTAAGGATGTATCTTCGGTGGAAGCATCAACATGATAAGTAGTTGCCATTTTTAGGGTTTGAAGAAGATGAAGAACAGAGAATTTTGGGAATTTTTGAGTGTTTGATCCCGTAAACGTATAATGTTCTCTAGAATGCCCTTTTATATGTAACGCTGGATGATTTGAATTTGAAGCGGGATGTATTTAATGAGATCCAACGTGGCACCTTGAAAACCGGACCAGTTCTGTGGAAAGTTAGTCATGCGTTAAAAAGTGTCTGTCACATCTCCTAGAAAACCGGGTTGAATACCATACGTCACGGTTACACAGCCTGTCACTATCCCCTTTATTGAATTGTAACCGTTAAAACCCTTCGAATGGAGGCAAGACTCTTTCACTTTTGGGATGAAAAGCGAAGTCATAAGCCAGATGTTCGAAATCATCAGCCTGAGTTGCTATTACTTAAAACCTCAAGGATTTCGTGTGTGTAGTGTGCCAAAAAAAGGTTAGACAAGAAAGAATTAATTTTTTTTTTTGGAATGTAGTGTTGTCAAAAATGCAATTTGTGTTGGGGTGCAAAGTTCTTCATTCATGACTTTGTAAATGTTTAACTTTTGTAAAACCCACTTGCATGTGGTGCTTTAGCCTTTAGACCCATTTGGTAGTTAGAGTGAGAGAGAGACATGTAAACACCTATATAAATAGTGGGTTTGTCCACTTGTAGAGGTGTGCTTGAGAGATGTAGAAGTGAGTGTGTAAGTGTGTGTTAATTATGTAGTCTAGATCTAGATCCTTTTTGTAACACCATATACATTCAATATATCTCTTAAACACCAAATCACCATGTTCAATTGTGCAAGCTTTAATTCCGCATGCCAAACCATGTTCTTTGTCACTACAATTGGTATCAGAGCGGGTCTTCAAGATCAAGGTGATATTTGAAGAACGATTCTCGGTTTGACAAGTTTTGTCGCAATTTGAACAATTTTAGTGAGTCTCTCTCTATGATCTCTCTTAATTTCATTGATTTCGTGTGTTGTGTTTTTTATTTGTGATCGTTTGACTCATTGGATCAGATTTTTTCTTGAAAAACTCATTTGTTGTGATCCAATATTTTTTTTTGTTGATCAAAGTCTGATCCAATCATATATCCTCTTGTTTAATTCGAATCTAAATCTGTAATGATTCATTTTAATTCAGATTTAGTCCAAAATCAATTTAAATCCATCACTGTTGATCATCGATTTTAAGCCCATATATTAATTTGATTACTATTTATATGATTTTATCAAAAGCCCAATACATTCACTGTTCGAAATATTTTATGATATCATATCCGAGTTCTTAATCAAATATCAATTATCGGATTAGTTTACATCTCGAGATCATACAATTCTTGAATACTTGTTATTGATTCGTGAATCATTCATCTTAATCATTTTGATCAGATTCTTTTCTTCATCCGATTCAATTTTTTTTTGTTCATAATTTTTGATCATTTTCAATTAAAACACAAAATCGATTTCTTGTTTCAATTGAAACATATTCTTGTGTTCTGGAGATGATTATCAATTGAGCTATCTATGAATATGATGTTGATAGAAGAAGATTGGGTTTGGTGTTTGTCGACATGAGGAATCAATAAGTCAAACTCAAGTAAAAGTCAAAATTGGTTGCTTGAGAAATCTGAAAATCAAAATTAATTTGATGTGTGAAAAGCGACGGATCAAGTTTGGTGTGGTATTAATGGCTTGATGATTTGGAAATTCAATGTCAAAGCATGTGGTATAGAGGATTTTTTTTGTTACGATTTGAATAACAAAAGGGAAGAAGAAGAATTAATTTTAACGATCTGTTGTTCGATTGCTTTGAGGCTAATGGTCGATTTATTTGGCATCATTGGTATTGATTTTGATGATATCAAAGGAATGAATGTTTGATGATGATTTTGGAATTCGATTTTGGACCTTCAATTCTAAATCAATGGTCAAGGTTACGATTGTTTCTCAGAATCGATTGTTGTGAAAAGCGAAGCACGAAGGATTTCAGTATATCAATGAGTTTGGGGTCAGATGGTAGATTTGTTAATGATTTTGGGTTTGGATTTTAAATATACGAAGGGTATTTGGAGTTTGAACAAAGGATTTTGGATTGTGAGTATACGAAGGTTGGTTTTTTGATCGATGATTTGGGAAGAACAGTAAGAAACGAAGACGGTAAGAACAAGAATTCGATTTTGGAGATCTTGAGGTCAAGAAACGAAGAGTCTATGAATGGATTGCAAAAAGCGAAGGGTAATAGATGAATAAAAAAACGAAGAACTGGAACTGGGTTAACATATGAAGGGTATCACTATTCATTACTGTTCATAATCAACACTTCGTATGCTTCCTATGTTTTGTCAAAAAGTCTTCGTAGGAATTAAAAAAAGAAAAGGAAAGTTTCAAAAACAGCCCCTGAACCTTCGAATTTTTGTCACTTCGAAAATTAAAGCAAGTTTCGTATGTTTAACACTTTTCACCCAACTTCGAAAATTGTTTATGGCTTCGCATTTGGTACAAGTCTTCGTATGTTTGAGAAAAAGGGCAGAATTTACGAAGATGGTCCCTGAAACTTTGAATTTTTGGCAGTTTTCATCCAAATTCGAAAAAATGACTATTTTTTGCTGAAAATTGAAGATTGTGCATTTCAGGCCCCTACAGTTTGTGCAAATTGACGCTTTCTACCCAGCTTTGGAAAAGGGGGAGAGTTTTGCATATTTTGCTGTTTAGGCGCAACGGGTCACTGCAGAATTTTGAAATTGACAATTTCTACCCATTTTTGAGAAATTTTGTCAAAGACGATCCGTGAACGGCAATAAAAATTGAATATTTTTTGAGTTTTCCGGATTGAAGCACAAAGTTTATGCCGCATGTTAAGGGGGAGTTTTGACACGAAAAATTCCGAATAGAGCATATTTTTTTTCCTTTGGAGTTTTATAATCAAATTTCGATTATAAAAAGGGGGAGAAGTTTTATATGGAAATTCGACTTTAATTTTTCATATTATGCGGATTTGAAGACCGAAGTGATCTTGAAGTTTTGAAGCTTATGAGATGATGCAATTGGAATTTCGGAAGTGATGTATTTGAAATGGGTTTAGTTTTATTGAAGATTTTTGGGGTGTGTTTTTATGCGCAACTTTTGGGTGATTATTTGGAGTTTGGAATACTCTTAATCATTCGTTGCTGCTCGGATTGTATGGTCTCACATCCTAGAGCCCAAATTGAAGAGTCATGGAAGAATTCAAGATTGAAGTTCGTTTCGACATGTGTCACCTTTGAGGCTCGAACCGCATAGTGCTTGATTTTGGAAGATTTAAAGTGGGTCATTCATTCCTAACTTTGAGGGGGAGAATGTTGGGGTGCAAAGTTCTTCATTCATGACTTTGTAAATGTTTAACTTTTGTAAAACCCACTTGCATGTGGTGCTTTAGCCTTTAGACCCATTTGGTAGTTAGAGTGAGAGAGAGACATGTAAACACCTCTATAAATAGTGGGTTTGTCCACTTGTAGAGGTGTGCTTGAGAGATGTAGAAGTGGGTGTGTAAGTGTGTGTTAATTATGTAGTCTAGATCTAGATCCTTTTTGTAACACAATATACATTCAATATATCTCTTAAACACCCAAATCACCATGTTGAATTGTGCAAGCTTTAATTCCGCATGCCAAACCATGTTCTTTGTCACTACAATTTGACACGAAGGCAGTTAAAACCCCGGGTAAAGGTTGCTCCGCTAATCATCAAGAGAGATGATCAAGAGCTTGTGTATGTTCCCGTGAAGTACAATCGACTACTTTTTGATAAGCATCAAAGGGCTTCTTTTAAAAGTAATTCTTAGGTTGGTTTAAAATTTCGTTTCATGTCAACCTAAACATAAGGTGATAAATTGTAACAGAAATTACTTGTATGACCAGTGTAGTCAGTGACAAGTTAGCTTTGAAAAATGTGATCATGACAAGGATATTCGAATGAAACTCACACTGAAATCATATTCATGAAAAAAAATTGTGTTATGGATCTTCTTGGGTAAAAAACATCGTGGGTTTCGAATGTTTGATCAAGACCACGCATTCGAAATTAATATGATTTGG